TTTTTTCTTTATTCTAGCTCATATTTTTAACCATGTTCTACAAGTTGCTCCCAAAAGGATTTACCAATTATACATATTACGCAGGATAATTCAGATTTGATTCCTCACATGGCTAATACTATTGAAAATACATACTTAAGATGCCTAATTTTGTGAACTATATAATCGAGAATGGTTAATGTTTTGTAGTCATCTAACTGTAGTTCATCTAGACTAGTTGTCACTGTTACATGGACTCTTGCAACGGCTAAAATGGAAAAAGGTTAGAGACCCCTCATATAAAATGCATGAACAGCGCATCAGAAGAACTTGGATTAAAACTCTCATATATGCATGATAAAACCCATCTGGTTAAATGGACTTGTCAGATCTGTCAAATCAAATCATCATCAATAGGCAACTTCGGTCATGTAAAGATAACAGGTTAAAAAAATGTTGTTAATCATATTTATAATAATTTAAAGGTGCATTGTGTAACTTTTCTGGTGGAGAGTCGGTTAAATTCTTTTCTCCATGCAGATGTTATTGCTTTATCTGGAGAGTTCCACAGCATAGTTTCTAAAAGTTTCTATTACCATGGCGACCAAATCATACCAAGTTAAAGATCATATCTGTGGAGAGGCAACCCTGCTTATAGCCAGAATGTCTGCTTTTCTAGGTATTTTTGAGCTATAAAGCCTACCTGCAATTGAATAAGTGTAAGGTAGAGCTGTTAAATGTCTTACTGGGATATTTCAGGCAGAGCAATGACATATCCAAAGAAACAAGCAGGTGATGGACCAAACCAAAAAGCAACATAGTGCACCTTTATAGTAATAATTTTGACATCCTCACCAAAGACTGGTTGAAATCTAAATATTATTATCTACCCGTTACCAGCTTCTTTAGTTTGGATTTTCTCAATGAAAATATCGACTTCAGTATGATGATTTGTGAAAAATTACTCTATTTGGTGTCTCCTTTGTGGACCCTCTTGCCTATTTTAAATTCTTGGCAGGAATATTGAAATTCATTATCATTACTTAGACCTCATTAAATTGAAAAGAAGCATCTCAACTTACTAATTGGTTCCAAGGGGGACGGTGGGATGAAAAATAAGCTATGTAATTAATATTGGGTTTATCAGGTTGTACGGCACAATCCGTTTTTTCCTGCTTTTATAATACCTCTGTGGTGCGCTATGAGTCGACTTGCATATTTGCACTATATCAAATTAGCTTTCCAAAAGAGTGCCATATGTGTGTGTAAAAAGTAAAAATGCAATAACATTCTGGCAAACATCGGGATCGTGAAAACTAGATGAAAATTCAGGTTTNTTACTGTGGGTAGTTATTTTTGTACCACAATTGGACCAGACTAGAGGTTTAACTAAATAACTTCTATGACTCATTATACAAAGCAATTTCAACTTAATTCTGCAATTTATTTATTTATTTGTTTATTACATTTTTCACATATAAATTTTTTGGGGGATAATCCAGTTTAAGGGTGTAACATAAAATTTTCCTTAATTATAATTGTTTATTGTCTATATTTCTTGAGCAATACAAAACACACATCATAAATTTGTTTTAAATAAAACAAATAATAATAAATAACTTATATCTCGCATTGAGTTGTTAAAGCTCAAACAGACCAGACTCATGCAGAGGGTGAGACATAAACTGTGAGTGAGACCAGACCAGCGTCCACAGGAGGCACAAAGCCCAAACAGATCTTATCACGGGTTTGTGGAGCGAGAATAAATTATGTTAACAGCCTCTTCACCCTGTGCAGTCCGAGTTCACTGTATGGACTATGCAAATACAGACATTAAAGACAGGTCTGTACAAGCAGAATTAATACTTCGCACTTCCAAAACATGTATGATCTTATTTTAGAGATGTCACAAAAACTATTGATTGTAATATTAAGGATATAATATTACCACGTGGTCTTATACTAGTTCTTATATAGATCAAAAGAATTCTAATACTATTCAGGAAATTTGTTGTTCTGTGAATACATGCTCAAATGTTTACAAATTTTGAAAGTACTCATTTTAGTATCCTAATATCAAGAGGATGAGTGGTATAACTTTAACATTATTATATTTAATCATATTTTCTGTAGCCATACACCTCACTATTTGTCTTGCCAATTACAAATACCCCACAGGAGAAACACTGCTACATGTTTTATAGTACAGACTCCAGAGCTCGTCTTTTCTCTCTTCTCTGACTCTTGTTCCTAAAATGTTGTGCTCTGAAGTTGCAGTCGTGATGTCTGGTTTGGTGCTGGTGTGGCTCTGGTTGGTGGGCTGTGGATCGTGACCCGGGGGCGGACCAGGTTTTCGGACGGAGATGCTTGGTTGCCGCGGTAACGAGGTATTAGTCGCATCATGTGTGTGTCTCCACGTTTGTGAATGAGAAGAGTGTGTGTGTCCATGTTTATCAAGTTATGTGGGGACTCAAGCAGCCACTTACAGGAAACAGTGATTGTAATGGAAATACAGTCCCTGACAAAAGTCTTGTCGCTTATTCCATTTTGTAGAAACAAAAGCTTATAACCTGACTTTAAATTAATCGATTGGTTTTAGAAATGTCTCATATGAAAGCTAAAACCCTCCCAAATTATGCTCAATATACTAAAATAAATTTGCTTCACTGAAGAAAGATTGATCATTTAATGAACACAGAAAGGGCAGATTTTGGCAAGACAAAAGTCTTGTCGCCTTGTCATATGATGCACCCAGTCCTAGATTACAGCCTCATCTGTGATCAGTTACTGATCAATCAATTAGTGGGTGTGTATAAAAAGAACCCCAGCACACCAGACCTTCACATCAACTGCAACTTGACCTCTGACAACATGCCTAAGATCCACCCTGAGACCAAAGCGTTAATTATCAAGAGGCTGAAGACCAGATCCACTGCTGAGGTGGCTGACACCTTCAATGTGTCTCAGTGTCAAGTACAAAGAATAAGAAAAAGATCTGAAATGACTGGAGATGTTTTTGACAAGCCCAGGTCCGGCAGACCCCACAAGACAACTGCTCGGGAGGACCGTTTGTTGATTCGAAAATCCAAGGCCAGCCCCTTTTCCACTGCAGCAGAGCTCCACCAGGCCTGGTCACCTCAAGTCTCTGTGTCAACCACAACAGTTTGTAGAATTCTGTCTCGAAATGGCCTCCATGGTCGAATCAGTGCACAGAAACCAGCACTAAACAAAAGGCAATTAAAAAACCGTGTGGCATTTGCCAAGGCCCACAGCCTGCTAAAAGGATGGACACTGGAAAAGTGGCAGAAGGTGGATTTCTCAGATGAATCCTCGGTTGAATTACATCACAGCCGCCGCAAATATTGCAGGAGACCTACTGGAGCCCGCATGGATCCAAGATTCACCCAGAAAACAGTTAAGTTTGGTGGCGGAAAAATCATGGTCTGGGGTTCCATCCAGTATGGGGCTGTGCGAGACATTTGCAGGGTGGAAGGCAAATATCAATAGCCTAAAATATCAAGAAGTATTAGCTACCTCTTACATTCCCAACCATAAAAGGGGTCAAATTTTGCAGCAGGATGGTGCTCCATCGCATACTTCTGTCTCTACATCAAAGTTTCTCAAGGCGAAGAAGGTCAAGGTGCTCCAGGACTGGCCAGCCCAGTCACCAGACATGAACATCATTGAGCATGTCTGGGGTAGAATGAAAGAGGAAGCACGGAAGGCAAAACCAAAGAATCTTGATGAACTCTGGGAGGTATGTAAGACACTTTTTTTGCTATTCCTGATGACTTCATCAACAAATTGTATGAATCATTGTCGAACCGCATGGATGCGTCCTTCAAGCTCATGGAAGTCATACAAGATATTAAATATGGATCTCACAGCACCACTACTTAATTCACTGACGTTATGCAACATATTTTTGTATTTGAAGTAAATTATTTGTTCAAATTTTCTGTAGGCGACAAAACTTTTGTCTTGCCAAAATCTGACCTTTCTGTGTTCATTAAATGATCAATCTTTCTTCAGTGAAGCAAATTTATTTTAGTATATTGAGCATAATTTGGGAGGGTTTTAGCTTTCATATGAGACATTTCTAAAACCAATCGATTAATTTAAATTCAGGTTATAAGCTTTTGTTTCTACAAAATGGATAAGCGACAAAACTTTTGTCAGGGACTGTAGGTCTGGGTGATGTTTATCGCATCATCCATATGTGTATTATGCATCATTTTAGCTACTTTGGACTTTGTTGGCCCTGATATTTCCTGCAGTGCAATTTGTGCTAATACACTGACAAGTGAAGTTGTTTTTAAGATGCTAAATATAATATATAAAACCTGTACCCATTTACAAATAAATCTGAAATTAACCAAAAGATAAATCCCTCATTCATCCAGTCCAGTTGACTACCAATAGATAACATTGACTCAAAAAATCTGATTGTTATCTGATATATGGAGGTTTTTCAAATGAAATGGTGTGTAAATTGTTAAATCTAATGAGAGTTATCAGATACAAAGATTAAGAAATACAATGAAAGTAACTTATTATTTTGACTACCACAGTCTGAAAATCCATTAAAGAACTGATACATATAATCACATCTAATTATCTGGCTCAGATTACTCTGTAGGTATATAAATCTACCCAACAGTTTGGATTATTTGTAGATTTTTAAAATAGACATATTTATATGATCCTTTGCTGGATAGGGAAAAGAAATTGCACCAAGGGCAATTTCCTTGTAAAAATGTTAAGTAGCTTTTTTGTTTATTTAAAAAGTTACTATTGATGCTACTGCATGTGTAGATTTCATTTCTGGAAAGGGAAACTAACTGAATATGTAGGATTGTAGGAAATGTGTGCAGTAAGAAGAAATCCAGGTATGTTTTCATCAAAAATATTATAATAAAATAGAACCATTAGTGCAAAGTCTGGTTAGGGGTCTTGTTAGGTGAACCAATGTGAAGTCCCCATATTAGACACAAACCCAGGACAAGTGTTTGAGCACTCACTTCCTCAGAACGGCGATCTCGTTTTCTATGCTGCTCTCTTTTCCTTTCAGTGCTTTTTTGGGGATGCACTTCACTGCAAACATCCGCCCGGTCAGCTTCTCCTGCGCCAGCACAACCTCAGAGAAGGCCCCTCTGCAGACACAAGACAAGATGAGTTACAAATGCATTTAGATTAGTGCAGGTCTCCAACCACCCTTCAATTATCCTAAAAGTTTCAGGGTGCTCACTGAGATACAAATTGCTCAGAGTAGAGAAGCCAGCTTAGGGCATCTGTTTTGGTAATGGACTGTTTTCCTTTGAGAACATGTTTCCTGTTGGAGGCGTCTGGGGAGATGACATTCCTCCTATATCAGTTATATTTTGTGAGTCAATCAGGAAATCACAAACGCGGCACTTACTTAAATAGTCCTCTGCAAACAAAATATCTTATTGACTTATGTAAAACACCTGCACCAACATTGTTGTTTTAAATTGTGCCGTGTAATAGCAAGCAGTCATAAGTCTAATGTGCTCATGGATGTGTTTATCGTGTGCACTGTGAAATTGTTAATAAAAGGTAAATTTATACGCAGTGGCAATATTACAATTTCTTCCCAAAATTGAAACATTGTGAAGCCCTACACAGTTTCTCTTTAATATCATTACTATAGACCAGGGTGTCAATCTCAAATCCACAGAGAGTCAAAATTAAAAACTGGGACTAAGTCCTGGGCCAAATTAAATATTTATTGAAAAATTTCAACATCTGCATTTTTTCTCTTTTGAAATATGTAATGTTAAACCTTTTCTTATTAAAATAAATGTTTTGCTTTAACACTGAATTCAGATAAAGCATAATATAAAATAATTTAAAAAAAATTTAATAAATAATGTCTCCATAGCCTATCTGTAGCTGGCAGGCCAGCTCTAATACATATTTGATATAATTATATTTGGTCCACGAGATTATATCACGGGCCAAATTTGGACCCTGGGCCAGAGTTTGACATGTTTGACATTTGCTATAGACAAACAACTTTTGGTCAATATTGTGATGCGTCTCTTCACCTGCTTTTTATAAAGAATCACTCGCTGACCATCCACTGACCACTGACGGGGGCTCAAAAGGCATGTCAGCACTTATTTGTTCTTCATAACCATTTTAAGTATTTCACTCAAAACCAAAATGTAAATAGTAGCAGTATTTTAACCATCCAAGTGGAACAGCCGGAAACCATTTCTTCATCAACATAAACCACTGATCCTATGACACCATTTTCTCTTGTGATAATTGAAATTTCTAATTCAGTGGTGTCTGGCTGTTACATGCATGTGTTGGTGTATGTGTGCATTGAATGGAGATGAGGACATTAATCTGCTCGAAATGTGGCAGCTCCTTCATCATGAGCCTGAAGCTTCACTGATGTGGTATTAGAGTAAACAGTCTTATCTCCTCAGTGCCGTGGTCTTCTCTCTTAAGAATCTTGTTCAACTATAACCTTCCACCAGCAAATACACAATCAGTTGAGACCAGGATTACTGTATGTTGATATAAAATGCAATGGCTTTCATTAATGCATTATAAATAGGCACACCATTATGACAAGTACATTAAACCGTTTTCCCTAAACACGACATCCATCAGTGGTCGAGATATTAAACAATCAAGTCTGATTAAGAAGCACTTTCTGGATTACTACAAAGGAGAAGGAGGAGGAATTGCACATTTTGAAGATGCTATGAAGAGGGAAACAGACTAAATATGCAGGGTTTCACAGACCAATGTATGTTTTTGAAAAGGAAAAACTAAATTTAGCATAATATACAACCATTAGAGAGCAGGTATTATGCAAAATCAGCACTATTGTATAATGTTGTTCCCTCATCATCAAAACATGTCTGAAGTGTATTTATGTCATCCATGCCTGTTTGAGCAATCTTGCAATCTCTCCTGGGAACTATTCAAACCCTTGTTACGGTTAGCAAGTTCATAGTTCTTATTCAAAGCTCAACAAAAATGAATTTAATATTTTAATGTTATTTTTGACAAATATTGCATTTTCAAAACAATACAAGGAAACATGGCGATCCAAATGCCTCCTATGTTAACAATTAAAACCCCTGAGAAATGTACTGCCCCGTCTTTAAGCACATAGTCGTAATTCAGTGCTCGATTGGTTTTGTGTTAACATGATAATAAATCTAGCAGGCTGTTTAGGCTGTGCCCTTCAATAGAGAAGAATCCCCACAGTATCAGAGGGGACATGTACACACCACTCAGCCACTCACTACATTCCCCTGCACATTCAAAGATATTATTGATTATTACCTCAGACAGAATGAACATCATAAATTGTACAAACCATTAAAGCTGCCTTCAAGATTTCAATATCCGTCAAGTCTTCTCACGCACACACACACACACACACACACACACAGACACACTATCATATAATTTTTCTCACTCATTGATGCAGTGTGTTGGAGTTGTGTATCTTTGCAGTATTGTGTGTCCCTGGCTGTATTCATTCATGTGGAGGAGAGCAGGAGGCGGTTGTGAATGGTTGTGTCACATTGAGAGAGACCAGAGGGGGAAGGCATTTTCACACCATTCAGCTCAAGACAGCACAGAGATTGAAAAATCATGCTGCTATCTAAGATCTGCAATCAATACTAATACGCTGCAAGATAAGGTTGGATAAGATAACATTTTTGAGAGGGTTTGCTCATTCCATGTGGCAAGCTAATAAAAAGAAAAAATATACTGGGGTCTACCCAAATGCCAGAAGGGTTGAGAAGAGCAAGTAAGGGGTAGGGATGTAACAATAACCAAAATATCATGATATCATATCGTCAAAAGTCTCACAATAACATCGTTGGCTGTTAAAAATATAGCAAATTACAAGTTCCTTTGCTTAAATGCATTGTTTTATAGTAGCAACAGCTTATGAACATATGGAACTACATATCCCATGATTCAATTCAGTGCAAGCAACATGAAGACATATGTTTTTTACATGAATTCTTGGGATTATGACAAAAATAATTCACACCAAAACCTTGTCAAGGTGTTCTGAAAGCAAAAACGTGTTCTATCTACAATTATATTAGCCACTTCAAAATATCAAAATAAATATCATACTGTGAGATGCATATCGTGATAATATTTGGATATTATTACATCCCTAAACATTAGCATTGTAAGCATTGTTTTAGCCCATCACAGCAGAAATCCAAGACACTGCTAAACAGATATAATTGAAAAAAAAAACATTTGTCAGTGGACATGTTATTGCTTTTTGCTGGAATGTTCCACATTGTATGGCATTAAAATGTTCTGTTCCAAGTTACAGGTCATATCTGTGGAACGTCAAGCCAGCTCACAGGAAAAATGCATGCCTGTAATTAAATAAAAACAAGATGGATATGGTCATGTTGTACTGATTCAGATTCAACTTTATTGTCATTATACTTGGCCTAGTACAGTGCAATGAAAACTGTCTAAACTGATCTAACCAATGTGCAGTCAGCAAGTACTAGATAAAAATGTACGTGTAACAGAATCTTATGTGACAGAGGTTGGTATAACATGAGCATGATGACATTTATTACATTAACATTACTTAGGTGTATTGTTACTGTGGAACATTACAGACAAAGCAATAACATCTCCATGGAGACAAGCAGGTGCTGGACCCCCACCCTTTAGCCATAGGTCTTATGTAGCCATAACATAAAGCACAGAGCAGATAACAGCATCCAATCTTCAGTTTTTTCCTACATCTTTGTTCTGTACATCTCTCACGTTACCATCATCTCATCTTCCACATCCACGACTGATCGCACGGCCCGTTGCCCTGGTGATTAAGGTGGACCTCCTTTTCTGACCAATCGTGTACCCTTATTTCTGAACGACACACACACACACACAGATGCACATACGCACACACATAACATGCACATACAGCAAACACCTGCTTGTACTGATAATGGCTGTTGTAGTTTTAGTGACGTCAAAGCCAGACAAGATTAGCGTGCCGTGCTGTTTGTTCAATCCACACACGCAAAATGCACCCACAAAACACGCATACACACACACACAATTGTTCATTCATGCTTTTGAGCAGGAAAGGGCATCCATTCAGAAAAAAAGGAAACTCCGTCAGATCCAAAAGGACAGCACACGGCAACGGTGAGATGACCCCTAATCTCATAGTCTGTCCGTAATCCCACTATTAAAACATGACGATCTAAACCATGTAATCCCAAAATGTCTATCTGTTCATTTGGAAAATACCTTTTTTTAGATCTATTTTAACACAGCATTCATAAAATTATTACAGATAATAATTAGTTACTCTTATATAGTGCTTTCCAGGAACTCAGTCATTTTAAAATGTTGTGTGTTATTTTTTCATTCCTTCCTCGGTACTGGTAAACTACTTAATCTAGGTTTCCAGCCTTATTTGTCTCACGTACCCCAAAGCATATTGTGTTTTGTTGTTGCTGTTGTTGTTTTTTACTATTATATCCTATAATGGCCCCGATCAATCTGCGCCACCTGCCCCTCCACCACATTCATACTAGGTAAGGGGAGTGAAGTGTCTTGCCTGAGGACACAAGAACAGCATGCACTAGATACACTCTACAGCCCCACTGCGGCACCTGATATTCCCAGTGGTCTCCTATTCAAGTATTGACCACGTTCAACCCTGTTTAGCTTCTAAGATCTGACGAGCTCAGGCTTTGACAAGAAGGTACAGGCCAGATACAGTATATGCCATAGAGTTTTGGAAAAAAAATACTGTTAATTTTTACTATAACACTAGAAAACTTTAATTTGAGCAGGTTGAAATGGTGTATATTGTATATGCAGCAGTATATTGTAAAATACCAGGAACAGAATCTGGCTAAATCCTATAGTGTAGAATTAATTAGTTTATAAATCCATAGGCCGTCTTTAAATGCCATCGGTTATTACTAAGTCTGTTCTGTAGGTGAAGTGAAGTTATGCAGATCCAGAAATAACATTTGAAAATATGAGAGTCCACTATTGTACTCCTGACCAAGGCAAGCACTGTATAGTAACACTAACCTATATTACACAGTTCATTTATTTTGATAAAAATTCTACAATACTACCACAAATAAAA